CTGGCTCCATTACTGTTCCCCTGGCTTCCTTTTACCGCTACTAGATTAATTTCTTAGTCTGTCTCCTTTTATCTTTGGAGAAGGAAAACCAGAGAACTGAGTTGCCTTGAGATGAATATGACCTGACAACTATTACTTGAATGTTGTAAAATCTAAATGTGCAATGCCCAAGATGAGTGGGTATTATTAGCTGATAAGTATTGTGTGTAGAAATGCTAACAACTGGGGTGAGTATTTAAAAACCATAACTAGGGATGAAACACTGCATTCAGGAGCATAATTTACTGCTGAGTGGAACATCATCTGCACTCCATTCTAATTAGTTGGATTACACAACAACAGTTTACATGGCAAGGATGAAATACTGTTAATGACTCCATGTAAACCTTCAGTACAATCAGCACTCATGAAAGCCAACAAGTGGTCAATAAAGTTGTTGAATTTATTATTATGGGGTTTGGTGGTGATGTTTTTGTTTGTTTGGGGCTTTGTTTGTTTGTTGGTTTGGTTGTTTGTTTTTTTAATAAGACTGTGTGGGAAGGACTGCAAGTTAGGATCCTTTTACACCTCTTCAGTCTCAACTACTGACCCCTGCCCTGATATTTACCCCTCATTCTTGTGTGCCCTGCAGACTGAACCACATGGGCATACAAATGTGCAGATATATATGAGACCATTGCTCAAAACAAGTGTAAACAGGTGATACAGTCCCTGCAATAGAAGAACAAGTCCCATGAGCATTATTGCTAAGATTGTGCAATGAAAATAAAATCAGAATATCTGCTTAGCCTCCCTGTTTATTCATGCTGGACGCTTTATGGAGAAAAAATGTAGATACATTTCCATAGCTATAAGTAGCAGAAATGGGAAATCACTCTGGTAGTCACTGTGTCATACAAAGCAAGTATCTAAAAATAAGATAAAAATCATAAAATTCTAAAGCTGTGTAAGGGCAGATCATCATAGTCAGTGAACTGTGAATTGTACAAAGCCAGTGGTTCTGTCTGTATGGTAGGAAAACTATCATAACTATTAGCCTAAAATAAATTGTGTAAGACAAGGAAAGTTTCTGACCAATTTCCTACTGCTTATCTGCACACTTTGGCTCTGTCAAATGCACCTTTAGGTTTGTGCATGTTTGGATATTTCTGAGTTTTCTTTTCCAGAATCTTCATTCCCAAATTCAGTTTCTTGTTCAGTTTTTTTCTTCCTAAAACCTTCATCTAGCTTTACTTTTTTTTTTTTTTTTTTACTCTAAAGGTGTAAGTTTGATCTTTATCCCTTAAAGACTTGGATATCAAAGGAACTTCTATTCAGTTTGATATATATAAAAAAGACCAAGATGCCTTCCAGGCAAGTGGTCATATCAGCAAGCTATCAGAGCCCAGCTCCTGGTGGTGGGCAGGATATCTGAAAGAAAATCTTCCCCCATGGATTTCACTCAGCTTCTGTAAACCAAGGCAGTGCAAGTACAAAAAGAGAACAAGCTATGGGCTCAAGTATGTAATTTCTGCAAGTTTCAGTTGCAGAATGCTAATAACTGCATCCTTTACCATGCTGGACAATAAACTTACGATTTATTGGACAATCATAACTTCTTTGCTAGATTTCCTCGATGTCTTCTCTTAGGTTTTATTGACATTTATTTTAGACGCTGCACTTTGCATAAGTTTGGTGGCAAATTCAAAAACTTATTATTGGGTCCTTAACAATCAAGCTAAAACGACTTTTTCTTGCAAAATATCTCATGTTAGGATCCACAAAAAATATAAAAATCTAAATACAGTTAAATTTTTTAGCATGGTAAAATATTGGCATTCTCTTAAGTATTATTTTATTGCTAAATGCTTGAAAGAGGTTTTAGTGACTATTTCAAAATAAAGTGATTGACAAATCTGCAGTTTAGATGGGGAGCATTCTGCTTTTCTCATAGTCATTGAATTTACACAGGTGTCAGTGTGGTCAGAACTGGATCCCAATTAACAATGTCAGAGGTATTTTGTCAGAGGGATGGGGTAGGAAGGGTCAGCTGAGTCCTATTGACTGTGGCCTGTTAAATGGACAGAGATTTTTGCTGAATGAATGTTTCACACTCTATACTGCACATTGTTAATGAATGGCTCAGCATGCTCAGAAAACAAGATTTATTTTCAAGTACTTGAGGGAGGATTCAAACCACAGCCCAAGAGAACAATTTCACCTCTACTCCACAAGTGGGGATTTTCCTGACAGTGGATTTAAATAACTATTGCTCGTGTTCCATATAACCCTCCCTGACCTTTGGCCTCAGGCTTCAGTACAGAACCCATGCATGTTCTCCAGGGATGCTTTCCCTGCACAAACCTGAACTCATTTTCCTCAAAGATTCCCTTTTTCCCAGCCATTTCTTGTGCTCCATGAAACATGTTCCAATTGTTTTTATTGTAGTAAATTCAGCAGTAACTCCAGCCTATTTAAAATCATTTTAGCTAAACATATATTACTGCTTCTCCAAGCTGAGCCTGAAATTTTCAGAAGTGCTCTCCTCTCTTTTCAGTGCCAAGGGAAACGGAAGGTAAAATATAGTGCTTTAAAAGTAAGCCTCTTCCATCTGGTTAGCTACCCTTAGACCTACTTCAGTCTGCCAGGAATAGCCTGAAATTGTTTCTATTTTTCATCTGTAGTTAAAACACTAACAGGCATAATGAGAACAGGAGCTTTTATAATATTACTGACTGCCAAGACGATGAATTTATTCTCTTCTGTTAAAATGAGGCTGGTTTTTAGGTTTGATGTCATCCTATGTGGTTTGGCTATTACTCTGCCTTTAAAGGAGCTAAATGAACTTTTTCTTAATACTAAAGAGTGCTATTCCTGCTGCTATATTTCAGATTCTCACAGAATTTTCATTATAATACTTTATTTTCAAGAGCCTGTGACTTCATTGAAAAAATCCTGCAGGCAAAACAAATGGATCACAGAGTCTCAGCTTGGGAGTAAGTCAAGAATGGCTTATTTAAGTTGATTTAAAAAACATAATATGAATTTTGATGAATTTTTTTTCAAGGTATTATTTTTGCACATTTTAAAAAATGTCTCTCAGAATTATTTTTATGACTAGATCAGCTCTCAGTCTTTAAGCAAGCATGAAAGATTTGATTTGTGTTTACCAGTACAATCCAGAGCTATTAAATCAGTTTATGTTGAATGTGGAGTTTTCTAAACTCATGGCGACAGGTTTTGGGATTTGGGTTTCTCTTATAGGTTTTTTTGTTTGGCATTTATTTATTTAAGGGATATTTAAGTGTATCTGTGTGATTATATACGTCACCATTTTGTTTCATAAACTGTGAGTCTATTTATATTGCACCAAGTCACAGCACAGCAGGTCCATGACCTCACAATCCCCATTAAAACCAGGATACCTAAGCAGGCTGCATCTCCTGTCCCCTCCACCGCTTTCCAGGAGTGGTGATGACAGGACATGTTAGGGGCTCTGGTACTTGTGGGGGGGGATGATATTTTGCTTTGGAAGAGAAGGAGATCTCAGTGGTTACACATTACCCCAGTGGCAGCCAGACAGGAACAGCTTTGATGCCTTTTCCTGCATAGGTTTGCTTCATCATCTCTCCTTGACAACATAAATTTTTCCATGCTTTGTTTCCCCATCTCTGTATTAGTGTCTGCTCTGGGGAGTTCTCTGGCTAATATTAAATAAATGTTGTTTTTAATTGGAGCTCTGAGGACGTAGTGGTCTGCAGCCATGCCAGCACTGGAGAGATGCTGTGTGATCCTGCTGATCTGCAGCAGTTCACGGGCAGAGGACAGGATATAACTTGCTTCAGTTTCCCAGCCCCAGGGCCTTAAAGGGTTAGTGAAGATGAATGGAGTTGTCTTGCTAAGCCATTTTCTCCTTTTTCTTTCACTTAAGGGGTGAAGCCATGTTTTCTAATGGAATGCAATTGTTCTTTCCTTGAACTGTGAATATTCCTCAGGCTTACTCTTGTTTAGCACAAGTTTGCTCTTACTGAGGTCCACTTGGGCAGTGTGGAACATTGCTGGGTTAAACACATTAAGACTCATATCATATTCATATAAATTTGTTGGGATTTAAAGTGTTGTGCCTGCTTACATGTGTGCTCTCACTTTAAAACCACAGGCAGCTGCACATGCAGACTGTGCAGGCTTCTATCAGTGGCTCTGGGAAGGTCAATGATGCATAACCTAAGGAATAATCATTCAGTGTAATGACTTTACCATGAAGCTTCACCACCGTTTATCATCCTTACAGCAAATCTATTTATAGGTATTGAAGCCTGAAGTGAGGATTTTCAGGATTAATATAGGCAATGAAAATAAGTGCATGTGTTTACATTACTGAACAATATTCCAGTTCCAAAAACTGACAGTAGATAAAATTAAGAATATTCTTCTTATGGGTCAAATTCTGCATTTAATGATCAGGTGATGAGGCAGCTAAAATCCATTTTATTTAATGTGCTTTTTTGAGTTCCAGAGTAGATGAAAATGTCCATGTAACACTGCAGTTAGGAACTTCATAAAAAACAGACAGAGAAAGAGTTTGATTGCCTCTGCCCCATTTATCCATTTTCTTCTCAGAAGTTCTGAGGTTTTTGTAGCTTAATACAGGCAGCATGGCCAACATATAAAAATTTGAGTATTATTTTAGGAATGTCCTTTTACATCATACAGAATAAACATTATTTTTAGCAATGAAATTTTTATTTCCTAAAATAACATGCAGACTTTAAGATCTCCTTTTTATTGCATATTGCATTTATTGCATATTTGCATATTGAAGTGTTAAAAAAAATTTAGATTGAAAATTGTAGTGGGATAGAATATAAGAGAATAAAGATAGTGTAGAAAGTAATCTTACCCCTAAGGAGTTGCAGCTGGGCCAATTATCAAGGATTAGGAACAGGCCTGACTTTAACAGGCCACAGCTGTAAGCAATGAGAGGAAGAGTGCTATAAAAGAGTGGGGTGGGTGGGTGAGAAGGGACCTGGAGTCAGTGGCTGCTTTGTGAGGAAGAGTCAGTGCTGTGAGGAGCTGCCCATGAGAAACACCAAGAAGGTAAGAAACTCCTGCAATAGGATGACAACAGAAAATATGCAGAAGCCTAGTTGAAGCTGGAGAATACAGGCAACAAGAATGGAAGTGGCCCAAGATTCAATTCAATTCAGATGCTTTTCACTGGAAAAATTGTCTTCTTATTGGCAAGGGGTAGACAGTTAACTGTTAGCATTTTCAAATCAGTAACATTGCACAATTCATGTTAGGAGAGAGTGATTAGCAAAATGATATAATAAATAAGGATACCTTTTGTTGGCCAAGACAAGTTTGCAGGGACTGGTGTAGGACTCAGGGACTCAAGTCATAATCAGAGTAAATTAAATAAGAAATAATGTGGATATGCTTCATGCAGTTGCAGCAGCAAATTCAATTAAATTTAAAGTTTAAAATCCAAGTTGCAGTTTTCAGTGGGTAGATCTAATGGAAATGTAGGCCTCCTAAGTGATAGTCTTTCTTTCCTAGTGAAGGGCATGGAGATGTAAGAATACCAGCTTTTAATTTGTTTTTTTTTTCATTATTGTCATTTTAAAGCTTCCAAGATAACAAATTTGTACAATGCTTGGGGTTATTTTCCCTAAGTTGATAAAAATATTAGAGATACATAATTTTTATCCATATTGACAATGTCTGAAGGAAATGAATTTCTGAAGGTGATGACATTGCTTGAGTCTAAAAGATGAGAGGAAAAGCAAGTAGGACATTTGAATTGGAACTGAGAATATAATTGTAGAGAACAGACCTAGAAGATTCTAATCCAAAGGGATCATTATCACTATTATTTTCTTATGTGTTTTATAATGCTTTGCTGTCTAAAAAATTTAGGAGTCTTCAGCTTCAAAGTACTTATATTTGCCTCAGTTTTTAAAATTTTAAAGATTACCCATGGAAATTTTTGACATGTTTGTTTAAGCATAAAATTAGATTTTGAATTTTCCATGAGATGGGAAAAATCAGTCTGAAAGAATTGAATCATTAAATATTATTTCCAGTTTCCTGGTTTTGAGTATTTTTATTTGAACACTGTACTCAGGTGTTCAGTTTTGAATATTGTATTCAGACATAACATGATGAAATGCATTGTCCTGAAATATCATTTTACAAAACTAATATATGATTTTTATATTTGACAGTAAGCCAGCTGAGATAAAACCTGTGAACTTCAGATTTAATTTCTACATGTCTGCTAAAATAGTCTTAAAGGAATATTTGACAGACAACTATGCAAGATCAGGTGCTATCAATTATTGCTTAGGTGTGGGAGCAAAGTAATTCACCTGAGTTTGGGGGAGGTCTCCAATGAAGTTCTTTAAAAGAGACTATTCCTTGCTAAATTTCTGAAGACAGTTTCAGTAGGCAGGTTGCCTACATTGCCCCTTTTTATTTAGTTTTTTTCCCCCCTGTATCTATGTATGGTGCTTTTTGTTGCCCCTGGATGTAATTTTCTTTGAATGAGTCAGTATTTCAAACATTAAACCTGTCTGCTGGAAATAGGGTATGCAGAATAGATAAACCATCTCAGGCCTACTTTATTGCAGGTTAAAGATAGTAATTTGTGTGCATCCTCACAGTCTTCAGTCTTCAAAGGACTCCCTCCTGGTAAGTAAAATATAAATGACTTACATGTTATTATTTGATGTGTTTTGACACTGCCTGTTTAAGGCATCGTATGATGATTGATAAGTTAGGTAATACAAGACAACACTTGCAAAGTAAATTTCTAGGCTTGCCTTTTTAGGTTGTTTTACATTGCTGATATTTTCTAAGCTCTTTTTAGCGCAGTCTACAGAAGCTTTTTCTTCTCTTAGGTTTAATGTGTGTTCCAGAGAAATATGCTAAAAAAATAACTTCTCATGGATACATGCCTTGTAAAATCTTAAATACATGACAGAAAAAATTCCAAAAACTTGACTTTACTAGAATTTATGGGGTCTGTTTTCTCACTTTAAAGTGTCTGCTCTGCAATGAATTAACTGTGAAAAAGGCTGAGTCCTGTGCACGGCTTACCTGCATTTAAAAAGTGACCTTAAGTATGCAATTTAGCATTATTTAAACTTAGTGTCCTACTTCTGATTCAGACTCTCCAGTTATGGTCCAAATCTACTTTAGGCAAAAAAAGCACCAAAACCCCTAAAAGTACAGAATTTGAGATAGGGCAAGTACATCATGCTTTGACAATATTCAACATTCATGTTTTAAGTTATTACCCTTAAAGATATTTTTTAAGTGATGGAATTTTATTTGTCAAGTACTGAAATGTCATTTTTGTAAATAAGTAACCAATTATTGCTTTTCTTGCTTCTTCTGTTGCCAGGTTGTGATTGCACCTACTTCCATTGTTTGCACCCAACTTGGTCTTTTGTTTCAGCAATTTAAACACTTTCAAAGTCAAGTGGAAGGCAAAAGAAATATACGAAAATATTTGAGTAGTATTGTGATCTTTTGTGGCATTGCAACTTACAATGTCTGTCTTGGATATTTTTTTAATTAGGAGAAAATAGAAAAGGAAATCTCTTACGTTTTCATTGAGCTTATTTGCCACGTAACTGATAGACATTTTAAATTGAGACAGAGTCTGTAGGCTTATTTTGGGGAAACAAATGAGGATTTTTGAGGGGTAGGATTTTGAACCTTAGTGAAAAGAGTTGGACAATGCTATGGAGCAGAGTGAATTACTGATGCATGTAATAGGCAAAAATTTTCTGATGGAAAGCAATTGCTTAAAATCTAAGAAGCAGATAGTAGCACAAAACATTTATTTTTCATAATATTTTTTCAATCATATTAATTGTAATTGCTGCTATATAAGGAATGATTCCTGTTATAAGGAGTTCCTAATGCTTCTTGATCATTAATCAATCCATTAGGTATCATTGCTAGGTAGTCCAAAGAATGCATTCTCCTTGAGAGTCTGCATTAGAATTTTCAAATCATTAATACTATTTAGCTGCTGCAGGCCTCTCTGGCTTCCCACTGAGGCAGATTCTCTGTCAGGGGAGTCTTTTCTGATTTATTCTTTTATTTGTGCTGGTGACTTAAAAATGCCCTTGTGTCTGACACTGCTATATTGTGTGTTTAGAGAATTTTCAGGATGTTAAAGGAAAAGTAAATACCAAAGAAAGTAGCTCCTATTTTTCTCTACAAGATCCTTTACTATTGATTGGATGTTGGCATATTTTTGCGTTCTGTGATCTAGGTTGTCTGTTCTTCCATGACTAGACAGCTTTTCATCTATGAAATCACTGTTAAGAAACATCATTAATAAGATAAAGCAGTGGTATTTTTTTCATTTCTTTTGGTAAGACTCGAGGAAAAGTAATGAAAAATTTATTTTTCTCTTCTACAGAGAAGTGGAAGAACATTTTCTCACTAACTTGCAGCTGAATATGAACTAAGGCACCTAAGGTGGAACTGATTAGGAAAAACTTCATTAAATATTTGTAAGGAATATATTCTATTAGCTGTGTAATAAAGAGAGATGAAACAGTAGAAGAGGCCTTAACTACAGCAATATATTAGATAATCAAACATTGGGAAGGTAATCAGTGTACTGGGAAGGGAAAGAAGCACAAGAGACAAGTAATTGCAAAACTTAAGTTGTCTTAACAACCTTAGTTGCTTTTGTTTTCTCTAAGATATAATTTCATCTTTATGTTGATGAAATTTCAATATCTAAGTCAAATCTTATTTCTGTCAAATGCAGATTATGTAATGGAGTCAGAAAAGAGCCAGAAGGCAAGTATTATGTCAATGTGAAATCTTAATGGTAGGAAATTGATAATTTGGAATTGAATAAAAATGTTTTTTGTTTCTGTTCATTTTATTGTCTTGTAAATGATCACTGCAAATGCCCTTCACTGAAATTGTAAATTAATTGTCCTCAGGAACATTTAATGTTCTAATTCTTCTAGCTTACTTTGTAAGTAAAAATATGCTTATGACTTGTGGGGAACTAAAAGCCTCATTTTCATTCTTAAATGAAATTAACCAAATCCATTTGAATTGTAAACTACTTACTGTGCTTATTTTGAAGTGGCCACATTTTAGCTTATTGAAATGTTAATAATACACATGAACAAAAAATAATTAAATTAACATCTGACAAATGTTGAAGACTTGCCAAGGGTTCATCTTGTAAGAATGATTCTGACAGTATTTCAAAATACTGCTTATCCAAATTATCAAGTCACTGGTGGGAAACTATAGTCAATTTTTGATTTCTCATGTTGAAATTTATTGTCGATATATGAAATTGTAAAATGTTTGCACATAGGAGGAGGACCAGCTGTTCATAGAGTGTCGTCTTTGTAGCTTGCTTAAGGTGTGGATGGATGGTGATTAATGGCAGCTTTGGGTGTGACAGTATTTTATCTAGATGCATTAGATAATGCATCTTCCTTCCCTTACAATCAGGGTGAAGGACAAATGAATTTGTCTGCTTTATATCCTTCTGGAAAATTATCCAGTCCAAACATAAAGTAAGTAAGGACCTGCTAGGGTCCTTACTTGAAACCCTGCTAGGGTCCTTACTGAAAACTTGAAAGCCCAGAGCTGCAGCCACAGTGCTGCTGCAAAAGGCATGGAATGGGAACGAAGATGCCACAACATTGCTTCCTGCAGAGCTTTTCCTTGGAACCAGCCTTGGCCCAAGGCTGCGTTTGCTGCCTAGGGTTGGGGTTATTACGCCTAGGGCTAGGGTTTTGGAAACCACAAAGCCCAGAGAGCACCAGGCTCGCTGCAGCTGCGAAAGGCATGCCAAGGGGAAGACTAAAAAGGATCCTTCCCAGACAGAACAACCATCACCACCAACTCTGGCTGCTTTCACTGTGCTAAGCCCCTCATGCAAACTGATATCAGGAACCTGGGCTGGTCAGTTTTGTTTCACATGGAAAATGGTCCACTGTTGTTAAAATTGAGTTTTAATTTCTACTTTAGTACATATATTCTTAAGTTTTTTCTTTTATCCTCTTATAACTGTTACTTTTCTGCATAGACTAAAAACAGAGTTTTGTGAGATATTGTTTATAATTTACCTTTACGAGACCTTCATTTCAGGTGTTTGACTAAATATATAGTTTCTTAATCTTTCATATTTTTCCAACTTTTTGGAAGCACATTTTTGTTCATTCTGCCTTGCATTTCATAGGGCTCTAGGAACAGAATTTGGTCTACATCGAAATATGTAATCCATATCACCTAAGGAGGGCAATTGCATTGAATTTCTTTAGAAGCCTTTCCTTAGGTGAGTGATGAGATGCTGGACAATAATTCTCCCAGAGGTTTCAAGTAGCATGCAATCAAATCTTTAATAATGCTTTAAAATGGGCACACAAAGACACACAAACCAGTGGGAGAGTTGTTAAAAAATGATGCCAGTCAGACTTATCTTTGTTGTACAGATATTCAAGACAGCTGCAGTATGCACATTTTAATAATTTTTCTTTATTTAGCAAGCTGCAGATTCTATAAGTGTGAACTAAGATGATGAGTTGTTCTGCACACTTGGAGGGGGTACAAATTTATAAGGTCATAGGTAGAAGATGAATTCAAGCAGAGAGCAGATGCAGTGGGCCAGGAGCAGGTAGCATGGGAGAGCTCTCTATTGCAATCTAATGTATCCAATAAGTTCTGTGGTTTTGTGCTGACTGACACAATGGTGGAAAAGTTAATGGGACTTGAAAGCAAACTAGTAATACATCAAATCTGCCTAGTTCTAGTATTAGGTAATAATCTGGCAATATGATTGCAGTGCTCAAGTTTGAATGAATATGCTGTTCTCTTAAGGGTGAAATTATCTTTATGCAGTGTGGAGTTACAGAGAAAATGAAAGGATAGAACTTTTGCTACAGTTGGTCCTCTGGCATCACATTTTGATGTATTGTTCATCATAATACCACGTCTGATAAATGGTTTCATAGAAACCAAATAGGCTTTTTCTGTGGAGTGTCATGACTAATTTGTCTCTGACTAATTTGGCAGAACACACTATAAAATATTGATGTGGATAGCCTGGCTCCTTCCTCATAAATAGAGCAAGGTTTTAAAGTGAATTATTTTGAATTAAAAAATGTTATTTTATCTATGAATTTTAAAGGTCAAAATATGTGTCAGGGAAAGTTATGCTGATTGACAGATTGGAAGGTCATGGAAAGCAGGGAAGTAAGAAAGGAGATATAGCCATTAAAGGAGGAGGCAGAGGAAGTGGGCAGTAAGGAGGACTGTGGTGTGTTGACCACAGCTGAACACCAAACTACTGTGTCTCTCTTCCTCAGCTGAGCAGAGGAGAGAAAATTTGCTGAAAGGTATTTGGTTTTGTCCTTATATTCTGTATATGTAGCAAGGTTTTGTGCTGGAGACAGCATAGATGTGAATACTGTTTGGAGGAGGAATTCATGGGGAGCTGCATGAACAGGAGCTGGGGGTGCTGCTGGACAGGAGGCTGGACACGAGCCACCAGTGAGTGCTGGTAAGCCAGGGAGCCAGCCTTTCCTGGGCTGCGTCCAAAGCAGGGGCTTGAGAGGGTCCTGAGAGGGGATTCTGCCCTGTCCTCTGCTCGGGCACCACCTGCAGTGCTGCCTCAGCCTGGGCATCCCCAGCACTAGAAGGACATGGATCTGTTGCCATGGGCTCTGTTTTTCTCTTGTTTTTCAGTGTAAACAAAGACAAGAAAGGAAGCAGAAGAGCTGTTTCCTTTTTTTTTTAGTCAGGAGCTCCACCACAGAGGTAATGAAGTGTGAGCTCTTACTCTCAGCTTGATCTCAGATTCCTCCTTACACTGAGCTATGTTTTCCTTTATCCAGAGCCTGATGTCTTGCTTTTCTACCACTCTCATTTAGCTCCATTGTGTGCTTTATACACTCACAAGGTGTGCTTGTTCACCTTTCCTCAGATGTAGCATCAGGGGAACACCAGGGAGCTCTACTCACTTCAGGTGAGCTTACTCACACTGCAGGTAGCAAAGCAGCCAGGTAACACACATGAATTTCCAGTTTTCCTGTGAGCATTCTGGGTCATAATTTGAAAATTGCCTATTACATCTCCTAATTACCAGGTGCTGTTACAGACATGAGTGGTGACTGGATGGATAACATGGAGAGTGCTTTCAGAAACAATACACCAAAACATTACTGCACCAGATATCCTTCAGGTTTGGGGTGATATCTGAAAATGCAAAACCTGTGAGTGGAAATCAGAACAATTGTATTCTGTGCTGTGCATTTCCAAAGGCCATACAATTTCTGTTTTCTTTTTTTTGTCTGTTCCTTTAGGCTATGAAGGTTCTTATAAGTACAGGTTGCGCTGTAATATTAGTGTTTACCCACCAAATGTGATGTCTATTTTGAGTCCAAGCACCATGGACCCAAGTTTTCCAATCTCACTTCCAGCACTTTTAAAGTGAATAAAAATCAAGCAACAGAGTTTGTGTCTTGTGGCACAGTTGCAAGTGACTAAACAGAAGTCAAACGGCAACCAGTTAGGGACCAATCTCTGACCTCCAAGTAATTCCATTTTATGACAAATAGTCCATGTGGTTAATTTTCAATTATGTAGTTTATTTGCTTTTTATGTAATGCAATCATAGACATGCAGTGTATTTTTCAAATCTGAATAAATTATTTCAAATGAGACACTAAAATCCATGATTAATTACATTATAATGCTCAAATCAGATTCTACTTTGTGGCTGGTCAAAAGTACAGTTTCATTATAAGATTACAAACCTTTTAAAATTAAGTAGCAACAGGCATCCATCGATGCACAAGCTAACACTAATGCAGTTAAAGATGTATGATTATTAAACAACATCTTCAGAGGATTATACCTCAACTACTAAGATCTTTTTTTATATTCCATAGAACTGAACCTTAACCACAAGATGAACTTAGTTGGTTTGGTCCTTTTTTGGTTCTTTTTTTACAAAATAGGGAGTACATTTTCCAGAATTTTATCCTTTAGTTTGAAGACTTGAACTTGCAAATATTTGGCTCATGTAGTCTTGTTGAACTATCTTAACTTTTTCTTTCTCCTGTCAGTTTTAGTGATTAGTATGAGGAGATCGAAAAGGAGCCAGGACATAATGAAATTCTGTTCTGGCTTCTGAACTTTGCGTCTGTCTATTATTGTTTCAGATGAAGACTTTAGTATTGCTCTCTTTTAGGAATATTGAAAAAAGGGCTTCCTGCTGTCAGTAGGAAAATCAATGACATTCATGCAGAAATGTCTCTTAATTTTCCTTTTGTCTTTCCAGTAATACTTTAATATTAAAGTGATTAAATAATACTAGCACAAATCTTGGTAATTTTATTTTTTTTTTTGCTTCATTTAATTATATCATACCTGATCTGAACAAAAGGCTTGTATTCTCTACAGGCAATGACTTTGATATAACATTTACTATGAATCTCCCAAGATGATGCAGTAGAATCTGGATTTGTTGCTCACACTTTACTATGGTAACTAATTTTTAAATAAATGAAAATGTGAGTATGGCTATTACTATACTCCTTTATAAATTTTTAAGTTGCATATATCAAGAAATGTGTTAATGCAGGAGGCAAGCAAAGAACAAGTGAAAATAGCCACAATGTCAGAAATAAAGGGTAGGAGTATTAAAAGAATAATATTTTGAAAAATCTTTCCTAGATGGAGTGGAGTTGGGTGACTGGGCTGGAAACCCAGGGATGGGATTTGTTGAATGAAGCCATAATTTGACTAAAGCAAGAAAGAAA